TAAAGTATGGTGCAAGAAATAAATCAAGCTCTTTGAACCACCATTGAAGTCAATTATATGGCCTCAGAATAATGAACTTTAGCTTCAGAACCAGGTTTTGCTGTGACATTGTGGGAAGGCACAGGTGATAGGCTCCTTTGCCCTTTGAAATCTAGAAGAGGAGTACCATGGATGAAGTATTTGTCCCCTCCCCCTGAAAAAAACTGGTTAAATATATCAATATTCCTGTGAACAGAGGCAGTGCTCCTAGATTTCCAGAATGCAGAGGAAGTGCATTATAAGAAAAATATGCAGTCTGTCATACTCACATTTGTCAGAGATTTAACCTTACTGTATTTGAATACCATTGAGACTCCGCCAGATGTTGCCTGTTCAGTCTGTGCTTTGAGGTAGATGGGAAAAGGAAAGAGGGCAAGCTAAGAACATATGGAAGACTGTGTATTCCTAATAGAATGCAAAACTGTGGAATTAATCAGGACTACGTGGAATGGTTAGAAAATGCAGGGCAAGGAGACAATGGGCAATGTTGCTGGATGAGAAGATCAAAAGCTGCAGAAAGGACCTAGAACTCACGTTAGCCTTTGGGGGGAGGATGTCATTGTGTTTTATTTATTTTAATTTTTCTTTATTAATTAAATTTCTATACTTCTCTACTTCATCTGAAGATCACATGTTTTGTGATGTGGTGGTTATTGTTACTCACGTCACCAGTGTTTGATGTTAATGAAAACGTGTCTCTCTCACTAATTACAACTTCGGATCGTGTTGTGGCAGGCGTACAATGTGGCTTGCCAAAGTGCTGACAGATCCGAGGTGCAAAATAGTCAGTGACAAGGGTGTGAACTTGAATAAAATATTGGGGGGGGGACAGGTAAGCCCTGCCTCGCATAATCAATCACATGATGCGGTGAACACACACCATATCAACTTGGGGAGTGGGGGTGGGCTCCAGTATTTTATTTGGGACCCCTCGGCCCCTAGGAGTTGGCTCTTATGGTCAGTGAGCAGATCAAATTTACAGCTGTGCCACATATCTCTATTTCTTTATTAACTTTGGAAGAAGTTTCATTAATGTGGCTAGAAGAAAAACGTTGAGCTTGCAGCTGATTCACACTGATTCTGTGTTTCACGGGTCTTCGAGCGAATTTTTATTCACTAGGCCGCTGTTTCTCTGTGCCTTCATCCTTCTTCCCCGGAGCTCTTGGACACTTTTCATGATTTAATCCAATTAGCCAGGGCTACCCATGTGATTTTTTCTCCTTTAATGGTCGTGAATGATGATGTTATATATTAGTCTTTCATTATGACATTGGGGTCAAAATAACATAATTCACTCTAAGATGAATGAACTCTTGGAAATGTAGAGAGAAGTTTAGTCTCCAAATTCAAACAAATACAGAGTGGAGCTTACCAGGATCTTTTTTTAAAAAAATGCACACACAAAAGGTCTGCAAAACTGAAGTTGCATACTTCAAAAACCAATGACATGTTTTAAAGAAATGTGCTTTAAGGCACCTGAAATTAGTTTTCCTAGTTATATATATTTATTCTTAAAATGCTCTGAGGCATTTTTTTTCTAGTTCCCGTTGATAGTCCTGGAGCTAATCACACCTGCATACCATTTCATCATTTTGTTTTGTTTTGTTTTTTGTATTTTTTATGTTTTTATTCATTCTGCTAGCACATTTGCAAAGCTAAGCAGGGTCTGGTCTGGTTTCAATTGGATGGGGGACCATGTGTTGAGTTCCCTGCATTGCAGGGGGTTGGACTGGATAACCCTCAAGGTCCCTTCCAGTTCTATGATTTTCAAGAATGCAATGTATATAAGAAATAAGTTTTAAGCTGGTACACCTTTCCTCACAGTTCCTTCCTCCTCCCTTGTCGTCGAGTGTCTAGATTTCTCAATACTTGTGTAAGTATGAATTACAGACTTGTCACATAGTGTAACATAATTTACCCTGTAGTTAAGAGAGACACCCAGAATTGTCCACATGTTGCCAGTGGGACCTTCATTATTTCAGTGTTTTGAATATATGGAATAAAGTGTATTTTGTGTCTTGTTGACTTTTTACTTGGTGACTTGCATCCCTTTCATCTGTCATTTGATGTGTGAGGGCTGATTCCCCCCACCACCACCACAGTGTCATTCATACTCTGAAGAGTAATAACGATTATAGTACAGATTTTGGATAAGCCTTTACAGGTCCACATTTTATTTTATTTTAAAAAAACATAACTAGGGCAAACTACTGCCTCACAAGGCTGTTGTGAAGAGAAAGGTGATCTGAAAAAGTTGCTATTTCTTTTGAGGCTTTAGAGTTTGGGTTCAGATGCTAAATAAATTATCTAAAGCTGAACGTGTAGCCGGACGAGAGAGTCCTTCAATATTTGACTTGCATGGAAGATGATTTCATGTAAACCTAAGCCCTCCTACCGGGATGGTGATGACACACATTAACCTTCACATTATCCTGGGATAATGAGCCACTTTCAGGTTTCATTGTTTCCGATAGAAACCATCTAGTTACTGCAGGTCAGGCCCAAATGTCACACTATGCAAGTTTCTCTGCTAAATTGCATTGTCTTGAAAGATAATGTGTGGCACCAGAAGAAATATAACACTACTTTGTATAAAAGTGATATACTCTGCCCAGTTTAAATGGAGCATTGCTATAACTCTCTCTCTCTCTCTCTCTCTCTCTCTCTCTCTCTCTCTCTCTCCTGTGACTAGACTGCCAACTACAGTATATGAGGAAAAACTGGTATTATCCAACATTCTTTGCTCAAGATCTATTTATAGTGTTACTTGGGCTTCCAGGGGATGTCTGCTGCCTATGAGACTGTAAGAGGGAGTGAATTTGATGTTATGTGTTCCATTTCCACCTCTCCTCCTTTTTCACAACCTATTGCATAGTCAGTAAACAGAATTTCAGTCAGTGGTAACTTCAAAGGTTACATGAGGAATGAAGATGTACTCCTTGTGTGTTTTTGGTTAGGATAAATTACTGTATTTTTTGCACCATAACACTCACTTTTTTCCTCCTAAAAAGTAAGGGGAAATGTCTGTGCGTGTTATGGAGGGAATGCCTACGGGTGGCATGCCTACGGATTTTCCTCCTGTAAAAACTACGTGCGTGTTATGGTCGGGTGCGTGTTATAGAGCGAAAAATACGGTAAGCCTTGTTTTGTCAGAAATTAACAATATTGTTCTCCTGATACTCCACCCCACGCTCGCTCACTCTACTTAGCACAGTATTCCTAGTTACTTCAGTGACCGAACTGAGCTGTTTATACACACTTTTCCCATTTACCATTGATATGCCATTTCCAGTGAAACAAGATGCATAAAAGCAGAAGCACACAAGTGCTATATGTGGATCATGCAGGAGGTGGGACTTTAGTGAAGCAAAGGGCTAGAAGCGGAAGAAATAGAAGTATTTATTTATTACATGTACATTGCACTCTGCCTCTGAGGGTTGTTATGACACCCCTATTCCCGTCACAGAGCTATAATTCCCAGAATGGTTGAACAATCAATCCCTCTTCTCCTGGAACTCTGGGAAGTGTAGCTCTTAACAAACTACAGTTCCCAGGTTTCTTTGAGGAAAGCCATGACTGTTAAATCGGTAGCATAGTGCTTCAAATGTACAGTGTGGATGTGGCCAGAGAGAAAGGAAGCCAAGAAGCCTCTCACATTCACAGGTAGCTTTTAAGGAGAAGTGTGAGAGGAAGCAGCTGCAACTTGTAGCCCCCCACCGCAGACAAAATCCTTTCTAACTCCCTGTTGTGAAAGTAATCAGAATGTTTCACTTATGAATCAGGCTAGAAAAATGGTTTGTGTTTTAGTTTGGTCCTGCTCTGTGGACCATTCATTTCCCCTTCTGCATATACTGCTTGAGAGGTCGTTCCGGCACCATTCTATTTACATAAAAAATGCAACAGCAAACACAGCGTATGCAAACATCTACTTCTCCACAAATCAAATTGTGAATATATAGTAAATGGCAGGCCAACAAAGAATGACTGTTTAACAATGAAGGCAGCAGGTAATGGAAGGGGAGTATGAGATCCTTTGGTTTGTCTCACTTTTCTGAAGACAGAGGGCAGGTTGGCACTGCTGCTTTGGTACGGATTTGTAAAGTTCACAGAACACACACACACACCTATTTCAGATATTGTTTTCCTTAACAGCAAAAACTGGTCGTACCCCATGGGAAGTCAGGACACACTAACGAAGTGGCAGCACTAGCCAGAATGAACCCTTATGTGGCCCTAATTAAATCGTTAGAATGACGGTTCCAGGTATTCCACGAAAGTTCAACCTCCAATCTAATTTTCCTCCCCAATGCACTTCTCCTTTCCCTAAGTAATGCATTTTGTCTTTGTAAAGAAGATGCCCTACCAACCAGCTGACAGGAATAATTATAGTTTATGTCTTTAGGTATAAAGTACTAGTGGAGAAATGTCAATGTAAATGAGATGATGTAATGGGAGACTGCAAATGACCTTGCTAATGCTTGCATACCTACAATGAAGTAGGGCAGATATGTTCTAGAGGATATTTATTGAGATGAGAGATCACTCCCCACCTCTTAGGAGGAATACATGGTCAGATTGCGGGACCCACTTATTACCAGAGAGCAGGGAAATTACAGGGAGATGGAAATTCCAGGTTAAGAAGCAACCTGTCTCTCTGAGTACCAGTTGCTGGCACAACTGCAGGAGAGGGTCATTCACTTGAAGCTTTGATTGCAAGCTTCCTGGAAGAATCTGATTGGCCACTATGAGAAGCAAAGTGCAAGATGAGATTGACCTTTGCAAAGCCCTCCCAAAGTTCTTAAGAAGCGGGTGCTGCACAAGTGGGCTTGCACACTACAAAAATATGCAGGGCTCCCACATTGCATTTCCACCTCCCGCTGTAGCTTGTGGTTCATGAAGCTATGTCCTTGCTTGCCCACATTAGCAGCAGCCATTGAAAGTGGAGAAAATACTTACTGTAATGAGGGCAGTGTCTCAGTGGTAGAACATGTGCTTTGCATGTAAAAAGTCCCAGGTTCAAGCCCTGATCTCTTCAGGTAGGGCTAGGAAAGTGTCTTATTTGAAAACCCCACAAAATAGTGCCTGTCAGTGTAGACCATATTGGCCAAATGGAGCAATGATCTATCTCAGAATAAAGAATCTCCCTACATCCCAGAGGACATGAAGGAGAGCCCAATGCACCTCTGCCACGTTCAGTGGTAGACATGTTTTGTTGGTTTGTTTCTTATAATATGTAACATGCCCCAAAGAAACTGGCTCATTTGGTGGCTGCATTCTGGATCATGATACCAGGAAGAAGACCAAAGGCAGAAGGCAAAAGGAAAGGTGATAGAAAGTAGAAGTTATGGCTGATCTGTTGCAGTCTGCTTTTGAAGAGTTTGAAAAACCAGTTAGGATTAGTAGCCTATGTGAAGAAAATATTGCTTTCTTCCTGTGGTATATTTATGACCTAGGTTGGCAGATTTATGAACTTGTGGAGGTACGAGTTCTTTCTTCTATGCATAGAGTATATGTGTGAGTTGATTTTAGTGGCTATATCATGGTGAATATAAATGTCTTTTATATTTAGATTTAAAGTGGTACACTGTGACTAATATTCCTTGCTTTGGAAGCGTATTACATAACAGGTATTTTAACAGGAACCTTTAGAATACTCAGCCACTGAAAAAGGCTAAACGTCAAAACATTCCTGGCAATTACATGGATATTGTTATTTTAAGTTTTAAAAACAGACACTTGAAGTCTTCAGTACTGCGATTATCTTACATGTGCTTGAGTTACATGCTGTGTGCATGTTGTACTACAGGGGCAGCTGTGGGTAGGATTCCTGTATTGCAGGGGTTTGGACTAGATAATCATTGGTGTCCCTTCCATTTCTATGATTCTATGTTCTTGATTTGGATAGATCTATATGCCAACTAGGGCTGTGCACTGGATTCATCCAAGTCTCGAGCCATATTTGGCATATTTAGAGGGACTTGGGCATCAGATAAGTCGGATACAGACAGCCTCAGCCAGGTTGGATGGTCTTAGGGGGCGGGGAATCAAGCATGAAAGAGAGACAGGCATTGGGGCAGAAGGTAGGGGCCCACCCCCGATTCTCCTTCCTGAGAGAAACCACTTGCGAAGGAGCAACATTGGCACCTCCACTGAACAATTGGCAAGTTGAGGCTCCAGTCCTGCCTGTTGAAGTCCAGTCCTGCCTGCTCTTTTGCAAGCAGCTTCCCTGCACAGAAGCCACTTGCAAAGCAAGTTCCGATAAGGAACTGCCTTGGGATTTTTTTGCAGGAGCCAGGCTTATGAAGCCAGGCTTATGATGGCCAGGCACTGGAAAAACGCTGCAGGAATACTAGTACCAACAAATCTAGAACCTCTCATTGATGGGGAAAACTTATTAAATCCAGACAGACATTGCACAAACGAAAGACTCTCACTAAAATCTGGCACTGTTTTACTGGACACAATGCAATCAAAGGATGTGACTGGCACCCACCATTATCCCACATATTTTTGTGGAAGGACCCAAGTTGATACAGGGATGCACAAGCTTTGTGTCCAGCAAAGTCTATAACATAACATGTCATGTCATCTCCCTACCCCCCCCTTTTATTTTCACTCTCTTATTTCCCCTTTCCCTTCTTTGGTCTGTTTCTTCTTGGGTTATGCAGTTGTTAATGTTTATCTGGTTCTGAAAAAGAAATAAAAAATAATTTAAAAGAACAACAACAGAAAAAAGTTTCACTCCACAACAGAAGCTGATTTGCCAATGTCATAGGACCACTAGATCACTCTGCCTGTGGTCCAAGAAGCCAAATTCTACCATCAATAGCCCTGTAGGATTCATTAGTACAGTGGTACCTTGGTTCTTAACTTAATCAGTTTTGGGAGTCTGTTCGACTCCCAAAACTGTTCAAACACCAAGGCACGGCTTCCAATTAGCTTCAGGAGCTTCCTGCACTCAAGCAGAAGCCATGCTGGACATTCAGCTTCTGAAAAACATCCCCAAACCAGAACACTTGCAGCATTCAGGAGCCAATTACAGTATTTTGGGAGCCAAGCCGTTCGAGAACCAAGGTACCACTGTATTTGAATCCTGAGAGCTGAAACCCAATGACTTTCCCAAGGCCATCTGGCAAATTCATGGCTGTGGGAAGATCTGAAATGGGACTTTCCCAGTTAAATATTCACACTCCACTACAGTGTAAATATTGGACCATAGTAATACAGAACATTATGTCACAGGATGTCCTGATTTTAATTATGTAAGCAGTTGCTAAAGTTTGTGTTGTGGAGAAAGAGCTAGCAAAGTTGACTTTGATTTTGCTCCCTCTTCTTAAATATTTTCTACTTATGTTGAAGGACATGCTTTGTTTCTGAACCTTAGACATATTTTGTGTATTAAGAGAACCATAGAATTCTTTGTCTTGAGGCTAATTTGTGCACAATGGCTTTAGAAGCACTGTTTGTTTGGGGTACATGACTGAGATAATTCTGAAAGGATAAGAGAGTGTAGCGTTCAGATTCTCTTATTCCATCTCTAGCAAGCAAACTGCAGCTTTTGTTTATCTACCTCCCCCACTCCCGCCGGGCTCAGTGTTTTTCCTTGCAAGAAACAAACACTTTGCCCACTCTTGCTGCTTTGTGGAGAGGAAGAGAAAGGATGCACAGATTCTGCCTTGTCCCTCAGCAGGCGAAAATAATACATTAAAGCTTGAGAAAATCGAAACATATTTGCATGACGCTGAAAGGAGAAGGGCTTCCCACGGGAAGGATTTCCACAAATGAGGAATGAGAAATCTTTGGTCTCCATCTACGCTTGTATGGTCTGCTCTGATGGGCAGCAGCTGTCCAGGGTCCTTCCTAGTCCTGCTAACCAGTCTTCAATTGGAAATGGCATGGATTGAATCTGGAATGTTCTATAGGCAAAGCATGAGCTGCCAGTGAGATAGGGCTCCTCCCAAATGTCCGAGCGTTTGGCTTTTGTGTGCAGTGCATAAAATTTGACATTTGTCTTGGTGAATTTCATTTTATAATAACGTTTTATGCTTCCATATGTAAACATGCCATGCAAAATAAGGCATCTGTTTAATATAAAGTGCAGTTGGCTGCCAAAGTGTTGTTATGAACCAGCTTTTCCCAGCTATTAATTATCTGAACAGTAAATTATTCATATTACTGTAGTGCCCAGAGGTCCCAGAAATGATCAAAGCCCCATTGTACAATTCGCTACACATACAACAAACCATAATGAGAGACTTTGCTTTCTTCAAAGGTGGCACAGAGGGATGTTTACAAAGACACCAGAGCATTGGGCATTGAAATTCTCTTTGTGTTTTGGAGGATATCCCCAGAAAGAGACAAAAGCTTGGATAAAAGAAGCATTATCAACCTGGTTTTTAACTGTTTCTGAAATATAGAAGGATCAAATGTGCTTCCCTGAGGTTATCCAACACAAAAAACGACAACAACAACAGCAGTAAGTTGTCTTATTTCAGCAGTGTGTAAAATAAGGTGTGTGCATGTGCGTATGTGAATCACCAGTATTTGAGCAGTATGGTACATTTTGATGGGGTTGTTAGAATCTGCTCTGTATGATGTATAAGCTTCCTAATAAGGCCGAGATGAAGTTATTCTAAGGCTCAAAGAAGTGTGGTGCTGACATCTCTGACGTTTAGAATCTCTAAATGCAAAGCACTGCTAGCAATCCTGAGAGTGCAAACCAAGCTGAAGAGCCATTTTGCATGCTCATGTGGGGCTTTTATGGTGTGATGCACCACATACAGTACAAACACTTCTCCACGGAATTATGAATGAGCTGGTGAGACTTGAGCTTATTTATTTCAGCTGAACTTTAGTTTGCCATTTTGAGACTTGCATCAATAGGGTCAAATTCTGTATCCCCGTCATAATTTTGTCTCTCACTTTTGGTTTGTTGAATTTATTTGAACTATACAAGCATGCTCAGTAACAGCTCCTGAAGTCTTCTTTAGCTGTTGCCCCAATTCTGCCTTTTATCATAATCATCATTTAATATTTTTACGCACCTCAAATGTGCTAAGTGCTGTACATAAGGCGAAGAAGACAGGTCCTGTCCTACAGGCTTGCAATCTACATTTCATTTTATCAAGTTTTTTTATCTATTTATTTTTGTCTATCCTGAATTCAGCACTCAACTGGGAAAAGCAATTGAGCAAGGATAAGTTTATGGAAGGAGATGCATTTAAGCCAAACAATGTTAAAAAACAAACTGTTGTGGGATCTTGCCACTAGGTACTGTGGGTTTCAACTGGTTCCCTTTGATGTAGGCTTGCAGGCTGATTTCACTCTGGTCAGAATCTGCTTGCTGAATTATCCTCACTGCCTAACACCCTTATATAGCCTCACTACCAAACTGTCGCTTTTATTGTTCTTTCAGCTCTTAAGAGGGCAGACTATCTTCAGCTTTTTCCAGCCTGGGTAGCCCCTTGCTCATCTTCTACCTGCTTCTGCTTCAGTGCTTCAGGATTTGGCCTTCTCCCTCAGCTTCTTCTCCCTTTCTGTTGTTGTCCTCATCTTCCTCTACTGTCATCTTTGTACACTCATTTCAGGGTTCTCTCAACAACTTTGGAATAGGCATACTTATGTGCTAGCTTGCCTTTCCTTCAACCAAATAGATTTGAGTGGCATACAGTTCTCCCCCCTTATCAGATTTCTTTTCCTGTCCAATGATGGACCAAGAATTTTGTACAAAAAAAGCCAGTCAAAAGTGTAATTTTACAACCCACTTTCTTGGTACAGTATTTGAAAGAACCAGGTTTTCCCCATAACGGTCAGCTGTCAGCCAACAGCAGATACTTGGTGTTTCAAATGTATTTCTTACACGACACCCACATAAACATACATTTTATCTAAAGCAAACCCTGTTTTAGTCAGCATATGTTAAAAAGTGATTTCTCCACAACATTATAGAAGGTGCTAAAGGGGGGGGGGTTGAGGGGGAATAGGGAACTGGCAAAAAGGCCTCTCTTCCTCTTCTTCTGCGAATCCATTTGATGGA